CGCTGCTGAAACTGACCAGCGCTGACTACAGGAAGCCCGAGGCAGAGTTGCTCTGCCCCGGGCTTCCTGGAATCAGCCGCTGATCAGTTTCAGCAGCAGCTGACTTGGGGACGCCTGGGGTTCTTAAGTTAAATCTGTATGTAGGTCGGAACTGGTGTCCAGATTCAGCCTGTTGAAACTGATCAGCAGCTGATTCCAGGAAGCCCGGGGCAGAGCAACTCTGCCTCGGGCTTCCTGTAGTCAGCCACTGGTCAGTTTCAGCAGCGGCTGAATCTGGACGCCAGTTCCAACTTACATACAGATTCAACTTAAGAACAAACCTACAGTCCCTATCTTGTACGTAACCCGGGGACTTCCTGTATTATAAACATTAATATAAACATAAACAAGCAACTTGAGTCTTTCATTATGAATAGACTTGTATGTATTTAATTGTAATCATTGTCAGTAAATGTTGATTTCACCATACAGAGACAAATCAATAGAAACAATATTTCTATCAAAAACTGAAATTTACAGATAGGAAAAGCTTGAAAAATACTGTTTGACAACAGAGTTTGATTTAATGACATTTACTTTGTGTATTGTGTTATGTGATGTTGACAATTTGTATTGTTATCGTTATAAACCTTAGCTTCTGTACCTAATGACTGGAATATAGCTAAGGTGACACCAATATTTTAAAAGGGCTCTAGAATTGATCCTGGCATTTACATACCAGTAAGTCTAATGTTAGTACCGGGCAAATTAGATGAAACTATAGTAAAGAATAAATTTGTCAGACACATATATCAACAACATTTGTTGGGGGGCAAGTCAACATGATTTCTGTAAAGGGAGTTATTTTCTACTAGAGTTATTGAGGGGCTCAACAAACATGTGGACAAGGGGGATCCAGGAGATATAGTGTATTAGATTTGTAGAAAAGCTTTGACAAGGTCTCTCACTAAAGGCTCTTAAGTAAAGTTAGTTGTCATGGGATAAGAGGGAAGGACCTCATGGTTTGATAATGGGTTAAAAGGACAAGAAACAAAGGGTAGGAATAAACTGTAAGTTTTCAGAATGGAGAAAGGTAACTAGTGGTGTTCCCCAAGGGTCCGTACTGGGACCAATCCTATTCAATGTATTTATAAATAATGTGGAGAAAGGAGTAAACAGAAATTGTAATGAAGTGTGAAGATTAAATCCCCCATATTTTAAGGCTGGATAATTGTATGGTAATTTTGGATCATCCAGTGCATGGAAGGTTTTGTCTTCCTTTGAAACATTGCCTATAAGTGAAAACAGAATACTGGGCTTTACAAACCAGCTTCCTGACCTGGTATAGTAAACTGTGCATTAAACAAGCGTGTGCTGGGTTTTTTTGTACAAATCAGTGTAGAGTGGAGCATGGCTGAAAGTACAAACACCCTTTTCCACTGGTTTTCATTGATTGCTGAAATTATGCACAAGTACAAAGATTCTTCTACACAGATTTTTCAAAATATACTATAAACTGTATATGTGTTCTGGCACATTTTAAGCTTGTTTGAAAAAAACCGGAGCTGAAGGGACCATTTGAATTAGTTGAAAATAATCTGTGGCTCTCAATCTGTTTCAAACTTTTATGATACATTACTAAATCATGTGAGATTTAACTGAGCTGGGACTGTAACACTTTAGGACTAAAAGGACATAGCAATTAGTTCTCTTTCATACAGCATTATAAGATAGTTTATTATGTCCACCTCTATATGTGAATAAACAGATTACTTTAGATTCCAGAAACATATAGTCATACATATTCTAATATTAGCATTTAGGCCTATAGTATCACATAACTTTCTGTATGAAAAGCATACAAAAATTAAAAATAATACCTAGCCACTCTTCCAACTTTTCTGCCAACAGTTAAAAGGAAAAAAATGTTGGAATTCAACTAGTCAGAATGCATGTCAGAGACCTTGTCAAGGGCATCCTTAAACTACTGCTCATATTCATTGTTTTAAAAAGTATGAGAAGAATGCAACTTTATTACAATATAGTACAGCAGAAATAACTGCAACTGATACATTTAAAGATCTGAATTCTAACTTCCATTATAACCCTCTACTTTTTCCAGTGCTCATAATTGCCTCAAAAAATTCAGCATACAGGAAATGTATTTATGCTTGTCTCTGCCTGAAGTAAAATTAATTTGCCTTTTTTTTTTAAAGTTACACCAAATTCAATTGAGCCACTTCTGAATTTTATTGTCACCTTTGCCACTAATCTGCCTTGGTATGTTGGAAATATTGTTTAGGCTTCAATGCCCCCATTAGGGAGGTAACCATGACTACTTACATTTTACAGATATACAAAACGAAAATGAGACACATAGCAAGGAAGTGTTAGAATCAAGACTACAACCCACGTCACTTGCTTGCAAGTCCAGGCCTCATGTACTAGACCAGAGTGTCCTCAGGCAAATCACTTAACCAATCTGTTCCTTAGCTATCTCATCTGTGCAATGTGGCTAGTAATGCTTACTGCAAAGGCTCTGACGACTACAGATGATAAAGTGCTACGTAACTGCCAATTATTGTTATCACACATTTTTATAAATGGAGAAATAGACAAAGTTAAATGACACGGTGATTTAATGGGTTAGTTACAAGCCTAGTCATGAGCATACACTTTCTAATACTGGTTGTGAAACTGACTTGATATGTGATTTTAGGCAAATCACAAAATCTCTCTATGCCACTACTTCCTCGTCTGTAAACAGGGACAGTAGTGACATACCCTAACACACAGGATCAGTCGTTGTGGGCATAAATCATTAATATCAGAAAAAGCAAACACTGTAAGATTCTCACAGATCGAAAATACAAAGCTGTAAACAGAGAATTCAACAGGTTTTAGAGTGAAAAAAAAGAATATATGTGAGATTAGCATCAGTAATGAGCACAATATAAACAAATCACCTAATTCGTTACCCTAAATTTCCTAATGTAAAATCCAGAGGATAACGAAGAAAAAAACCTGAACTTAAAACGATTAATGTGCCTATTATCAGATTCTTTGAAGTGTCCCTTAGAATACGTACTCCATCTCACATTTAGCTGTGATGTTTGGAATACTTTTCCAATACCAGAAGAGCTATAATGTGGCCCAAGCTTATGTCTCTTACCATCAGAAAATGGTCCAATAAAATATATTACCTCACCCACCTTATCTTTCTACTACCATAGAATTTCAGTGATGAAAGTAGCCAGGTAGTTTAAAGGGCTCAAAATATTCCCCTAAATTTGCAGAAACCAATTGCTGACAAGCAATGATTACTAATGCAGAAGTAGGATATTTATGTATATATTGCTGTCTAAAAAATGGTTTAAAAGAAAACACTCATGAAGAAGTCCATTTACCTGAAAAAGCATTACTGTAATATCTTGAGAGCGTCTGCATAATATCTTTGGAATGCTGAGTCCACGGCGCTATCTTTCTGTAGGTTTTTACTCGATGAACAAGTTGAGAGCCTCCATATTGAAGAGAAAGTGTGTCTCCATGATCTTCATACAACTCCTCAAACAGTCTAAATCAGTGAAACCAAAGACATCTCAATTCTATCACCATTGCTAGAAAGTGAAAGCTTCTCTACTCTATATTTTATACTTTGTTTGCCTTTATGTTTTAAAGACTTAAAGGTAAGCATATAGAAGTCCAAATAAACTATTTTCAGTTAATGTAATGAATGGTATACTATTGAACAAGAAAAATAAGCTGTCTTCTTTCCAAAATGTTAATTAGTTAGTTAAAATTATAGAAGTGGCAACTACAGCAAGAAGAGTTAATTGTTCTTTTGCAACATTCTTTTAAACAGACTAAGCATGTAATGAACAACTAACTGTAGTCAACACCTGCTCCTGATTTCCTAATGAGCTTATCAAAAATCAAATACTTAATTACTTGAAATCTTGTGTGAATGTGTCAAGATGCTGCATCACTCAGGCTACAACTGTCTTCATAGCCTCCTTTCTTTTATTAGTTTTAATAAAAACTCAGGCTACAACAGAGGAGGCTATGAAGGCTAGGACTATAATAGAGTTTAAAGAGAAGCTAGATAATTTCATGGAGGTTAGGTCCATAAAAGACTATTAGCCAGGGGATAAAATGGTGTCGTTGGCCTTTGTCAGTCAGAGGCTGGAGAGGGATGGCAGGAGACAAATCGCTTGATCATTGTCTTTGGTCCACCCTCTCTGGGGCACCTGGTGCTGGCCACTGGTGGCAGACAGGATACTGGGCTAGATGGACCTTGGTTTGACCCAGTACGGCCATTCTTATGTTATGTTCATTACAGAATTGGGCTCTAAAAACCTATACTTGCTCATTAGTTATGATATATTAGAAACTTAAGTATTTATTAAATGAGAACATATACCCTCATAGCTCCCAGAAGAAAATATGAATAAGAGACCAGGGAAATGATTTGTAGACTGGTAGGAGAAAGGAAGACCTTAAATGTTAACAGAATAAGGTAGCCCTTCAACAGTACCCTCTCTTTTGTGAGAGGTAGGAAAAGGGATCAGAACAGAGTCCAACCAAGATTATTTGTTACTTGGAATGAGCCATTTATTACCATACTTGACACAAATAGTAAATGCCTGTTATCTCTGAGGGATAGTCACAGTCTATAATGGACAAGAGGAGTGCTGACAACACCTGGTGACTAAGGGGTTAAACTCAGGTAGGTAGCACACATGTTGGCCAGGGAGCCAAGAGAATCAATTGAAATAGAGGGTTGAAATTTGAACTGTATATAGACTCCTTGCCTGCTTTCTTTGTGTGGGAGAGATAAACCAGGAGTTGAGAGAGACAGAATGATTTAAACCCAGGCAAGACTACTATGTCTCCAAGGAATTTGGGGCATGGGAGTAGACTGAACAAAGAGAAAACTGGAAGGAAGGAGAAAAGTGAATCTAGTTGCGTTCATGGTATTTTTTATCTATTTTGTGGTTTGGTTTGAACTACTCTGTGTTAATCTATGCCTCCCCTCCTCATTTACCATCTTGCACTGTGCCCAGAGACTTTTCTCTGTGTTTTAATTTGTTTTCCTTAGCTGCTCTGTAATGTTGAGCAACCAAGTATGCTTTATCAAGTCTATCTTTTGTTTTGTAAGAAAAATCACTTTTTTTAAGGTTATGATTTGATTCTTGTGTTCAGGAAGGTCTGCCTGTATGTATCCAGGAGCGGCCCTGAATGAGCTGCCAGCAACTGGCGCCCTAGGCGAAACACGTGATCAGTGCACAACTGGCGCCCCCGCCTCCAAACCGCTCAACGGCCATTTAATTTGGTGCCCTAGGCGACTGCCTAGTTTGCGCCTATGGATGGGCTGCCACTGTGTGTATCTGCATGCCTCACACTGAGGAGTCAGCTACCAGAAACTGCAGCTTGTTTTCTCTATTCTTTTTTCAAGCTCTTTTGGGGGCAAAAGAGGTGGGGGTTCCCTGCAGGTGGGTTCAAGTATTCACTCATGTTTTTTTAGGGATAAAAATCACTTGGTGGTGGCAATTCCCCAAAATCTGCGTATTGTGATTATGGGGGGAAGTTTTTGTAACCAGTGTCTGTAGAAGCAAAGTTGTTGTTGTTTTTTTTCTTTTTGAGCTTTGTGGGCTCTCACCTTCTGCACTCGGAGTGCAAGAATGGGAATCAGCCCGGACACAGTTATTAAAAGATTTTATAGTGAAAGCACAGGTGAGATGGTGAGGACCATACGTCTGATAACAGACTACTGAAGGCAGTCTTTTGTGGAGAACTGCAGACTGAAACTTGTTTTATGGGCAGACCTAATACCAGGGAGTATCTTACAGAATCTTCACTATAAGCATGCCCCAAATGCTTTGACTCTGCCATCAGGAGATTCACCATGCACACTAACAATGACTATTAAATAAATCACAAAAGCCTGTCTTTACTTTAAAAACAAACAACAGACATATTCTCTCCCCTCTTTCCTTCTCCCTCCAATCAAATAAGCTACACTGTGCAAGAAATACTAAACTAACTACCTGGACCCATACATTCTGAGATCTCTACAACAGTAATAAGAAAAACAATGTGGCCTCAACTGTCCCTCATATTTATGAAATCAGGTGCAAAAATCTAAATCCCTGAGGGAGCATTCTTCCAGCTTTAATGGTCAGCAATATTCAGAGGGTTTCAACTTAAGTGTCAAATGCACATGTGAGGTTGTAGAAGGATGCATTTTTTTCAATCACTTCAATGGACAAAAAGTACCAGGAAGATACCATAGAAAGTAAAATGAAGAAAAACATGTTAAAATGTATTTCTGAATATATCCCTGAGTACTGGGAGCACATGGCAAAAAGTTATGTTTAGCCCATTCTAAATCAAAGCACAAATCATAAGCTTTATAATATACTTTTACTTTTATTATGTTTATTTAAAGCACAGAGTTTTCAAGTTTAAGCATCAAACAGAAATGCTCAGTTTTTTTATCCTGAAGGGCACCTGATAAGCAAACTAATCAAATAAAGGAAATCTTGAATTCACATTGATTTCGATGTTAAATGTCATACAGAGGAGAGAATGGAAAATGCAGTTAGCTGAAAAAACGCGATTAAAAATGTATTTGAATTAAACATAAATTTCACTTAAAGAAAAAACATGAAAACATCAAAATATAAAGAGAGATAGAAAAGATAATTGCTTAATATCCTTACAAAATTAATGCCAGGAAAAATTATAATGTTTTACTAACAGTGAAATATCTTACCTAACAGCATCTGTGTCAAACTGCAGATTGGGTTTATCAATCAACCCCAAAGAATAGAGCTGATAGGCCAAAGCACACTTCCCCACCATGAACTGGGCTGTGTTAGTGCGATCCAAACAGTCCACACAATTGGTTCGAAGAACACCAGTCTAGGAATGAAATCAGATTAAATGGGAGATTCTTTAACCAGTCTTCAAACCATTACACTCAAGCCTACTTCACAAGGGAATTTTCTCCTGATTTCCTAATGAGCTTATCAAAAATCAAATACTTAATTATTTGAAATCTTGTGTGAATGTGTCAAGATGCTGCATCACTCAGGCTACAACTGTCTATGTTACAGAAAGCTGCTAACACATCAACTCGTCTTCTCCCTCATAAACATCGTTATGATTCATTGCTAAAAAAGTTAAGTGCCACTGTAACTCAAAAATAATGCTTCCACGTTTAAGTCCTGCTACTAAGATTGAAATAAATGTGCTATCATATTTCTGTGACCATAAGACAATAGTGTTTATATTTTCAACAATGAAATTCATGGGCAGCATGTGTACAAATTCTGCTGAAGATCACAACCTGCATATCACTCTAAACACACTTTTGCTTGTGTGCTTAAATCCATAGCACCCACAGAAGGCTTGTATTTTATAAACAGAAGGCTAAAAGCATAAATAGCATATAATATTTTCACATGAATGATACCTGATTTATGGCTTATTTTGTTAATGCACTAAACACAGATAGACATGCAATACTTGAAGATGTATAAGGGTACGTCTAGACTACATGCCTCTGTCGCCAGAGGCATGTAGATTAGGCTACCAGACATAGGAAAATGAAGCGGTGATTTAAATAATCGCCGCTTCATTTAAATTTACATGGCTGCCGCGCTGAGCTGACGAACAGCTGATCAGCTGTTTGTCGGCTCAGCACGATAGTCTGGACGCGCGGGTGTCGACATCAAAGGTATTTGTCGACCACACCCGCGCGTCCAGACTATCGTGCTGAGCCGACAAACAGCTGATCAGCTGTTCGTCAGCTCAGCGCGGCAGCCATGTAAATTTAAATGAAGCGGCGATTATTTAAATCGCCGCTTCATTTTCCTGTGTCTGGTAGCCTAATCTACATGCCTCTGGCGACAGAGGCATGTAGTCTAGACATACCCATAATCAAGGTAATATACAAATGGCTTGCATGTTCTTTCTTCTTTTAGAGAGATTAAAATTAGGCTCACTACGCCGTTATCCTTAAATATCAGATCCTTGATGTTCTATTAATATGGAATTCAGTATTTGTCTCTGATTTATGTAAAGTATAAAATTATAAATGATCACAGGCAAAAGGAAACAATGCCTCAGCAATATTGTATCTTGTGTGCAGAATATACAATCATTACATTCATATTTAAATTTAAACCAGTAATTCTTTCATTGTGCTATACATAAAGAGAGTTGTATTCTGAGTCAAACAAATAGCCTGTTTTTAATTTGTGATTGTAAGCAGAATTATACATGGAATATGCAACAATGTGGAGATGAGAATGCTTTTAAATTCTTGTTTCCATAGATGTAAATCTGCTATCAGAATGAAGTATGTTTTTTCCAAACAAGTATAAATTTTGATGTTGGAACATGCAATCTTTTCAGTACTAAACAGTACATTTCTTGTACAAAAATCTTGTAAGATGTAAAAAAAAAAATTAAAATACTGTATTGTGTAGTTTCTTCTCTATGTGTCGTTAATGTTCCAAAGAACAGCAACTTTCAGCAAGACTGGTGCCACTATGGCTAGTTTCAGAAATGGAAACTAAACTGAAAATTTAATATTTCTCAGATTTCTCAGAAGGTTTTTCTAGCAGCAGGTTTTTTCCTAGCACTGTCCAGGGACAATGTGACCCTAAATCCAACTGGAGCCTTTGAGTACTGCTGTAATATACTTAATTATATTAGAAAAGTACCGACTCAGAGGAAAGACAGTCATCTTACTGATTCACAAACAACACTTCCTGCAGCACCTATGATAGATGGCTTTTTGAAAGAATCCTGTACTGTTAGACTACTGATTTATATTAATAAAACTTTGAAATAATTCAGTTTATTATTGCAATACCTGTAAGCGACCAGTGGGAACAACAAAACCTCCCAATTCATTCCATCTAGAAGGGAAACAAAATACCGTATCTTACAAAGTTTATTTAAGGATTGTAAGTTTTGTGATACAGGTCTGCTAAATAAAAGAGGGAAAAATTTTAAAACCTGCTAAAATGAAGCTGAAATCTCTGAGTAGCTGAAAATACCCTTACGTGGCTGACAATAATATGGTCATACATACTTGTTAGGATATGTGTTGCACTTAGGTTGCAATGCAAGAAATCCAAAATTAGAATAAGTGTATGCCAAGATCACAACAAATTTTATCAATAAACATCCTTTTTACCAATAATCTGAAATTAAATAATATATTTGCAGTTATTTAGTGATTTGGGAATATAAAGTGTGTCAGATCATTTCTGTAATGTTTGATAAATTATAATAAATAATCTTTGTCTTCCCAGAAAACTTATTTTTTTATTTTTTTCTAAAAATAGGAGTTTCTTACAATATATATACAAGCAGTAGGAACCAGCAAGATGACAAGTATATCTCCTGGCAACTCTCAGGAGAATGCTTTCTTTAAATTAAAAAATTGTGCTTGCTTTATCTGTTCACACACTGCATATCTTGTTTTAAAGAAAGCTATATAACATGAAGTGCATGCCCTGAAGCAGCAAAAGAAACTGAAAATGAAGAACTGTGTGCTACATCTTTCAAGACTTCAGGGCTGTTTAAATATAAAAGGGGAAAACAAACATTTCAGATTTAATTTGTAAAGTATTTATTGTAGCAAGAACCATCAACTACATGATTTTCATAAGTATACATATTTACCCTGAAGATACATGGAACGTAATTAGAAACATATTTTACACTTATCCAATGTGTGGATAATTATAGACTATGACCTTCCTTTTGGTTGCAATCTTTTTCATTCTAACTGGAAACTAAATTATGATTTTCACATTACTGCAATCTTTAGAAAGACACATTCAGAGAGTACATGTTTCAGGCATTTAGGAATATTGTATGTGTATAAATGCTGTTTAAATATGTGTGTGTAAAATTATGTATGTTTACACACACTATCTTTTTTACTTTTCTTGTTTTCATACGTACTTTTCATCTGGCCGCAAGATGCTGCAGTAGGAATCAGGACGATTTACAAAGAACCCTGTTTTCTTCACTACACTTTCTGCAATTACATTCAATCTGTCCAGGACATTACACAGTTTGCTATCAGGAGAAAAAACAAATATTGAATATTTTTATTTAAATGTTCACTAGTTGGAAAGCCTCCTATCAATGATTTTCCTAGTAAGAAAACTTGCAGTTCACACCTTTTCCATATCTATTGACCATGACATTATGTTTTCATGCAATGTTTTCATGCCACTTCACATGATTAAAAGAGGACATCAGTAAATGTTTAAACATTTATCAATCTTCGCATCATCTGTACCAATCACTGCAAAACCACACTAGAACTGCCACGTTTAATGATGAATCCTCATTGACAATGATTTCTAGATATCTATCAGCCATCTAATTCATAATCTATTTAAAAATATGCTTTATTAATACTGTATACCATTCCCATTTTTAAAAACCAGAATGTCAAATAATGGTACTAAGTCAAATGCGTTCCAAAAGGCTAAGTTTATTAAATCCTTGTATTAAATCCTTGTAGTTAACTGTTAGCAACCAAACCTTAATTTCAAAGACTGAAATCAGGTTTATTGACAAGATGTATTTCAAATAAAAAACATGTTGACTATAGTTAGCCTGGTCATCCTCCTCTCCATTTTGAATACTGGCACGTTGACATTCTTTTGGCCTTCAGAAATTTCCTCTCTATTCCAAGATTTGTTAAAATTTAACATTGGCAAGACAGAGATCTTCTCAGCAAACACTTTTAGGACTTCTGGCTACAAGTTATTCAGGTCTACTGATTTTAAAATAATTTATCCTGAGTACACATTGTCTAACATCTTCCTTAGTTACTAATGGACTGCAAAGTATTTTCTAATAGATGATAGACCATCATCTTGCTTCTTTCCAAATACAGATTATAAATACTTATTTCACCAGCTCTGCCTTTTACTATAAATATTACACAAACTCTCAAAGAACTGTATCACTGCAAAATTAAAGTTAGTTCATTTCTTACTTCAAAGTCAAGAATGGACAGCTCAATTTCTTGAAATATAAAAATTCCTCAAATTTCAACACCAACTTTAATCCTACTTCCTCCTTTTACGATTACAGTCAGGGGTGGCTAAGCCTGACATTGACATAGTGCATATCAGTCCAATAAACCTAATCACATCTTGTTTGGAACCCTGGGACAAGTTTGTGTTGACTCCTTCTCCTTCATTTTCTTGGTAAGATTGCAGCTACAGTTACATATCAGGTTAACTTATTTTTCTGTGCCTCAAATAGGTTTCAACTTTACTTATTTCTTTTTGAGAAGGGAAAAATAAGATTTTGAGTAGCCAGAAGCCAGATAGTTAAAACAATGTGTTGATTTTTAACATGACAAAAGTGTAGCATTCACACTGAATCAGTGTTTAAAGAAGATATGAAAATATGGGCTATTTACAAGTATATCTTGTTAGAGAGTTGCTTCTGTACATTTGTATTTGTGAGATACGCACTCCTGATGTTGAGCTGCAGAGCTGCCTTAATTAATAAGCTTAATAATAAGCTATGTCTACAAGGAATGTGCAATAAATGACATTTAGCATTATTTTCAAAATTAGACTGAAACAGCAGCTTTGAAGATACTTATGGAAGACAAAAATGGCACTACTGAAAGACCTGAAAAAGCGCAGATCACCTGACTGATAAAAAACACATTCCAATAATACAGAGAAAATTTAGCCATTGGTCTGTTGTGCCAAAATAGAAAGTTCTATTAAAATAAAAAAGTTTTATGAAATTACATTGCTTTCCCCTGAATATCATTTAGGAAGTAAAACGGAAAAAATTCTGATGTTAAAATATCCTACTTCCACATTTTTTGAATGGTACATTTTACTTTTGTTTTGCCTTGAAATGACTGTTTCAAAAATAAAATCAAAATGATTTTTGTCTAAACAGCTCAAGTGAACAGTATTAAGACTTAAAAAACAAAACACCCCGCAAAAGCTGAGAATTTCAAATAATTGGTTTTCATTCCCATGTACAACAAACCTATTTCTGAAAGCTCAAAATCTTTCATGAAACAGAGCTTCTACCCTTCTCGCAGCTCTAAAAGATATCTCAAAGCCACCCTCACACTGGCAAAATATAGCAACGAAATTTAAAATACATTTATCCCTGTCGCTGACCACTCAAGAACTATGATGAAATCCATACAGAAAGAATTTGCCCACCTTTTTGTGTATTTGGCCATATCCCAAGGAATATACACAATAGCATGTTCTGGGGGTAAAAACTGATTGAGATATGTCACAGCACCAACAAGTTCTTCACTCAGAATCCTTTCATGCTTTCTTTTTTCACGTTCCTTAATCAAAGCCAAACAAAAAGCATTAACATTTTTGAACTAACAGGTCTAAATGTTAAAAAGTTTATATACAAATTCTTTCAGACAATACACATATTATCCCTGATTTTAGTATTTAATATCTTGTAGGTATAAAACAGGAAGAACAAACAGCATGCATAATAAAATAGTGGGGGTGGTAGGATAGTGTTTATGCAACATTAAGACAGACAGCTAAACAATGTCCCATCATCAAGAAATTCAGTAAAGTTCTAAATTGTATACTAGGAATTATAATCTATGAGAAACAGAGATTTTATATACAAAACACACGTATACACACACCCACGCTTTCCTGAATATACTCCCGACTCAAACATTTATGGAGGAAACCTTTTTCCACAAATAATTTATTGATCACAGACTAAGCATAGAAAGTTTCACCCCAAAGGGTACATTTTCAGAATGTTCTCATTCTCTCAATAGTGACAAAAAAATGAAAGCTATTTTACAACTCTTAACTATAATAAGCACTACTAAAGTCCATTATTATATAACTAGATAATCAGAAAAAAAGCTGTTCATTTTAACAAATATAATTCCCAGTGGTGCAAATGGAATCCACCGCTTACCAGGAAGGAAGGGGGAGAGGAGGGAGAATGGCCACAGGAGACATGTGGCATACAGTGGTCTCCAACCTTTTAAAGTAAACCCTAATACCCTTGCCTCACCTCCTTCCATGCCCTTTCTCCAAGGTCCCACTCCGCTCACTCCATCTACATTTCCTCCCCATCCTCACTCACTTTCACCATGCTGGGGCAGGAGTTTGAGCTTCAGGCTCCAGTCTTGGGCCAAAAGGTTTGGAGTGTGGAAGGGGCTCTGGGCTGAGCTCAGAGAAAGGAGTTGGGGTGCGGGGGGGGTGGGGTGGATTTCAGACACTACTTACCTCAGGTATCTCCTAGGTGGTGATGCAATAGGGCTAAGAAAGGCTCACTTCTGCCCTGGCCTGGCACACTCCTGAAACTGGACAGCATGTCCAGCAGTGGCTGCTGGGTAGGAGGGGCAGGTGGCTCCATTCACTGTACCCCCATTCACAGACAGTGCTCCCACACTTCACATTGGCTGGGAATGGGGAACACTAGTCAATGGGAGTTGCAGGGGCAGTGCTTGCAGCCAAGGGTAGCATGTGGAGACACTTCTGCCCAGCTTCTCCCAGAGACTGCAGGAACGTGTCAGACAATTCCAGGAGCAGTACAGGGCCATGGCACTGCCGGACTGTTAGCAGCCCATTTCCTGATTTGGCTGCAGAAGCCTCCAGGAGATCAAATCTGATTCTAGGAGACTCCTGACCAGTGATCAACATATGGATGGAAAAAATTAGAGGGAATGAATTTTGTTATATGCACAGATATTGAGGTATTGTGCTGATGTGCATCACCAGTAGAAACCAAACACCTAAATAAAATACACATTTGAAAAAAAATTACCATAGGGATAAATTACTCCAGCCATGACACTGATCCTCTCTTCTACCTCCCTTACCCTGAGCAGCAAACAGGAGGCTCCCAGGGGGCAGCTCCAAGGCACAGGGCAGACGCAGCATAGCAGTGGAGGAGAGGCAGCTGAAGTGCCAGCACATGAGACCCTCCCAGCCAATTCAGTCAGGATCACCGGTTAGAGGAAGGGCTGCTGCTGGGAGCCAGAGAAGACATAGCTCTGTGGAAGGGTAGGGAGTGAGGATGGGGATTCTGCTCCTTCCCTGCAGCATTTCCCAGGAGAACCCTGAATCGCAAAGGGGAATAGAGCAGAACTTTGGTCTACTGATGGCCCCATGCCTGCAGATCCTCCAGCGTAGCTGTACTGTCAGAGGACTAGGTGCTGTACAGATGGAAGACTCGGTGACCCTTATGGCAGGGCTGGCAGAGGTACAGCTGCACCAAAGAAGCTGCCGACATAAGGCTGCCTAGCAGCACCACACTCTGCTGCTCTTCTTTCCAGTATGTCATTCTAGCTATAAATATCTTACTGGTATAGAATGCCAGACAGAGCTGCCCTACCTACACTGCTGTTAAAACCTCAAGATGCTATGTATATACCCTGCAGAGAATATAGCTATCAAAAGTTACTGTGCACCTCAGCAGTATGACCTTCTGAGGAATAGGGACATTAAAAAAGAGTAAAGAGTGGGGGGAAGGGGAGGAAGGAAAGGGAGGAAAGAAAGACTGGAGAAGTGAGAAATGGTTTCAAGTAAATAGGACAAAATGAAATAAGGCCAAATGCGAAGTGCTCCACTTAGGAAGGAACGACCAGTTGCTCTCACACAAAATGGGAAGGAGTACTGCAGAAAATAATGTAGAGGTCACAGTGGATCACAAGCTAAATATGAGTCAACAGTGTAACAAACATCATTCTGTGATATATTAGCAGGAGTGTTGCAAGCAAGACATAAATAGTAATTATTCTGCTCTACTTTATGCTCATTAGGACTGACCTGGAATACTGTGTCTAGTTCCAAGCACCACATGTCAGAAAAGATGTGGACAAATTCGAAAAAGTCCAGAGAAGAGCAACAAAAATCTAGAAAACATGACCAATGAGGAAAGATTGAAAAAACCTGGGTTTGTTTAAGGGGGGGGGGGGGGGGGGGGAGGGGGGAGAAACATGGAAAAAGTTCTGTGGGAAGATAGAGCTAATTGCTGCCCATCTCCAGGTTCTCTCACAACCTCTGCAGTTGCCAGGAGCAGCACCATAAGTAGCTCTATGAGCTCTGTGCTGAGAAATGTCAAAACAGAACAAAGCAGCAGTCCTCCTCTCTCCGCAGTAGCAGTCTGTGTTCTTAGTGCAGAGAAGAACAGGATCACTTACATGATTTGCTCTTTATTTGTTCCACAAAAGGAAGAGCACACTCTGCTATCAGATACTTCCCAAAGATATGAAGGGAAGGAGAGATGCAAAACAAACAGCAATATCATCTTCATTGGCATTTTGTCAACAATAAAAAGAGGGGGAAGAAAACAAGTCTTTCATGGGGATGGTATTTTTTTTTTGTTGCCAAAACTGGGCATTTTCCCCAACAAAGTCATATTGCAGTGTGTACATTCAGATGTTTTGTTGCCAAAAGGCAGTTTTTGGTGACAAAACTTGGTGGTGTAAACAAGGCTTTAGCCATGCAGTGCCTCCTGTGGGGTGGAGCCTGCAGGCAACTGCCCTGTATGCTACCACTTCATGCTGGCCCTAACTTTTTTATGCAGGGCTAAAAAAAGACAGGCCCTGGAGTTTTTAATAGTATGTTGGGGTGGGAGGTGGGGCTCAGAAAGAAAAAGATTGAGGACCACTGCCTTCCACTTCCCTCAAGCCTGAAATGGAAGAGGAGACTGAGTTTCACTACTCCTCTACTGTCAGCAAATACCTCCAAAGCCCACTGGCAAAGTACCTTTTCCCTCTCTACTACAGTCCATAAATTGACTACTGACCTACTACTGCTATCAGTCATTCTGTTAGCTGAAATGACAGAGCTAAGGGTGGATTTAAAGGTTTCAACCCTGCTAATGAACTATGTGGTTATCTACATGATGTTACAAGAAGCCACTTCTATTTGTAACAGATTCTCATGACCATAATCCCTAAATACGATGGAGGGGGAGTAGCTACAAGCTATGATTTCCAGTAAATCATGCCCAGTGATATGGGGTCAGGTGGCTTCCAAAGGTGGTGGGCTCTGAATTGGTTCCTATGCAAATGCTGACCACCCATCAAATTTGCTCACAGGGCATCAATATATAATGTGGGGCTGAAATAGAGGAGAGTTTGCTCCCCTAGTTTTAATTCAAGCATTTCTGTCAGGATACTCCAATTGTCTGTGATAAGATAGGGCACATGGTCTCTGCTTGTGCAATAGTTGAAGGCTGTGTGGTTGCAGATGGGGAAGTGACTTTGGAATCTTTCAGTAAACATAGGGTGCTATCAGTTCATTGAGAGCTCTGAGCTCTCAAAATAAAAGCCATCATTCATGGCTTGTACCTTGTGAGAGATACTTGAGGCTTGGAGATACAAAACTCTCTGCTTGGTCATATGCAGGTAGCCATACCCTGGATGGCACTTCAGATGTATCCATTGCTGCTTTCAGGGCTGCCTGGGCCACTAGCTGGCCTTCTTTTGTAGTGTTTTTAGATCCTCTCTCTTTCATGGGGCAGCTTGGTCAGGAAAGATATCACGCTGTCCAATGTTAAAAGTTAATATTTGACCAATAAAGCCTGACGGTTGGCCTTGCTCCAAAAAATATCTAAGCATCTTGGATTCTTTCCCTTAGATGAGTTCTGATGGATGTAAAAATACTCCTACAAGAGTGGGGGAGGATATCTGATACTGTTTCTCTACAAGTTTCAGTGTTGGTGATATAAGTTGTTCACATTTGCTACAAAGCTCTTGCCAGATCCTGGAAGCTCTTATTCATGTGGAGAGCAATAGTGGTACCAATGTTGATACTGAGGCCAGGTCTGCCTTTGTTGCAATTTTCTTTGCAGAAATGATTTGAAATGCCTGTGTGCTACATGGAGCACTGAAGATATAGGTTTGACCGTTAGGTGTGGTTTTCCAGCTTGGATCTTCTGGATCCAATGCCACTCAGATTACTACGGAAGATGGATCTTCAGCATTACATTACTTGACTTGTAGGTTTTTGCAGGAAGAAAAGGCAAACTGAGAACCTAATTGGGATGGGAGTCTTTCTGAAACAGAACAGATATCTTCTGTCTTAGTGGAACTGGCCCACTGGGGGTTGGACAAGAACAGGAAACCTTAATTCTGGCATCTCCTAATTTTGAGTGCTTCGTTTTGCAAGCTTAATAAAGTTATTTTACCTTAGTTTTTGTGTATAACAATATAAAAAAATCCCAGTAAGAGCACGTACAATTTATTACCCCACATTGCACAGAAAAGTAGAAGACTGAGTTTACAAATTCACTAAACTAAGAAATCTCCAAAGAGTAAGAGTACCTGAGGTAGAAACGCTCAGTGATTGTGTTGAAGTTGGATCTACTCTTACATGCATAGGATAATACAATTTTCCCCACTGAACACAAGTAGCAGAAGAGCATTAATTTTAGCTTGCTAGTATTGAGCACCTACAGAGACACATTTTCAGCCACACTACAAAAGCCCCGTGAACAAAAACACATAATGATTCACATGTCAGGGTCATGTGAATCTGTATTCACATTTAGTGCTGGCCTTTGAAAACTAAATCTATAAATAAGAGAATCATTTTCTTGCCCACAAAGTATGTCTCAAGCTGTTTACCTCAGCTTCGCACGCTGATTCTTAAAAACACACTCAAACAAGAGCTTTAAGAAATAGAAAATAATGAGACTTTGCTATTTACTACTTCAACTTACATATTCTCAGAATCAGCCTTTGTATTAAAGACTTATATTGCATGCATAAAAGACACCCTTTCAAAAATGAATATGCTCTACAATATACTACAATGTAACAATAACAAAGATTGAGAGAATATGGAATCAGATATAATTAAATGAAAAGCTCCTGTGAGACAGTAGTAAGTATATTGTGAAATAATGAAGACCAATCTGAAATGACATATGATTCTTATATCAAGTACTATATTATCCAAAGAAATAAAAACAAATAAAAATACATCAATAATAGTCATATACCTTTCCTGCATTTCCTTTTTTAGTTAAAAAGATCTACTACATAACTGTATTGTTATTAAATTGTATTTATTTTCTTTAAAATACACATTATCCACATTGTCACAGAAATTATTAAGAAGTTTGTACCAGAAACATTAAGATGATTTTACTCCTTTGTCCTTGAAACTTTTTTGTTAAGAGGCAAAACACAAATTAAGCTTTCTTTTATTTTCCATCATATTTTCCATAGATATACTGCAGTTTTTGTTGGAAATATTCAAAAGTTCAAAGTTTATCCTCTTCAAAATAAAAACAATGAGGAGTACTTTGGCACTTTAGAGACTAACAGATTTATTAGGGCATAAGGTTTTGTACCTTTATGCCCTAATAAATCTTTTTGTCTCCAATATGCCACAGGACTCTTCAGGTTTTTTTTTGCAGATCCTGCCTAGCATACCCCCTAAGCCTCTTCACAATGTTCTTTTAAATTTATTTTCAAAGTATTAATGCCCTTTTATAAATGAATTATATTGTTAAATTCAAGGTTATATACACATTAATGTACGTAATTTTGTTCAGTTCCTTTGTTTAAAGATCCAATCCAGTAATCGTCTACCAATGTAAGTAATGTTCTTTGCATGCATACTTCTTGGCATGATTGGACCCTTACTGCCATCACCTATTTTCTTTCTCCAAAAACAGCAGGAAATAAATTGGGGCTTGTGTAGGAGAAATGTATTTGCAATGTTTTTCATTCTCAGAATAAGTTGGGCCCCCTGGATGCTAATCAAGGTCTGTTGATCTCTTCAATAAAGTGGCTACGTTATTAAGGTATTGCATTCAAATACTGCTCAACAGATATTGTGTCTCTGTCAAACAGATCCCTGTATATTTAAGACTTACTTATCATTAGCATCTGAAATATTCTGCTCTCAATACATATCTAAGTTACTCTTTGTTGAGAACACTAATGTGATTTTATATTTCATATTTCATCATTCTTCAGACTGTCAAATCTTTAAGATATGCATTAGACAGAAAGACAAGAAGAATTTACTGTGTTTCCACGCTGTTTTCTACAGCATTACAACAGATTTAATTTGGAAGTTTATCATCAAGACTTCTTGCAGTCATATGATGGATGGTACTGCAGCAGAATGTGGTGGCAAGTAGAGTGAAGCAGGAATAAGAAAAGATGGCCTTTTGATTATAGTACTGGGGACTGGAATCAGAATGCCTAGATTCAGTTCGCTCAAATATTGCTGTTCAAAGTGAGTGATACCAACAGCCTGAGAGGAAAGATGAAGTATGTATTGCAAGATATGTATAATTTTTAAGGATATTTTATTTCTGAAAAACTATACTAGCAGTCTAATTATAGTGTAAGTTACACCAGGATAGGGGAAACAAGTAAAAAAGATCCTCCATTGGTAGGCTCATTGTGAGGTGGAATTAACACATTTATACTCAAAAGAAATGGAGTCTCATGTTTCAATATATAATTTAATCATTCTAATTGCTTCAAAATTGCATGGAAAAATTCCTTTGGGAACCATATCCAGTTCTCCTGTGTTAAAAGGACAGCTGATACATTGAAACAGGTTTAACAATGGATGGGAGTGAAAACACTACAAAAGGAATTTTGCCTGTTTGTTCACGCAAGCTTTGCTATAAGGAGTCTTGTGATTTATTAATTTGAAAATGTGTGTTAGTATTAAATCTATATTTAGTGCAGAACACAATTTTCAGAACCAGCTTTAAGCAGTAAAATTCCCATTGGCTTTAATGAGACCATAATGTAGCATTAACAGCATAATTAATTTTTTTAAAACAAATTATAAGTGTATTGATTATAAGTCTGCAGATGATACCAAGCTGGGATGGGGTTGCAAGCGCTTTGGAGGATACAGTCAAAATTTAAAATGATCTGGACAAACTAGAGAAATGGTCTGAGGTAAATAGGATGAATTTTAATAAGAACATGTGCAAAGTACTACACTTACGAAGGAAAAATTAGCTTCACATACAGAATGGGAAGTGATTGTCTAGGAAGAAGTGCTGCTGAAAGAGATTCAGGGGTCATAGTGGACCACAAGCTAAATATGAGTCAACAATGAAGCACTGTTGCAAAAAAAGCAAACACAATTCTGGGCTGTATTAACAAGAGTGTTGTGAGCAAAACTCGAGAAGTCATTCTTCCACTCTACTTTGTGCTGATTAGGACTCAGTTGGAGTATTGTGCCCAGTTCTGGGAACCACATTTCAAAAAAAAAAAGTGGAGAAACTGGAGAAAGTCCAGAAAAGAGAAAGAAAAATTATTAAAGTTCTAGAAAACATGAGCTATAAGGGAAGACTGAAAGAATTGGGCTTGTTTCATTTCAAAAAGAGAAGACTGAGAGGGGACATGATAGTGGTTTTCAAGTATCTAAAAGAGAGGTATCTTACAAGGAATCTTACAAGGAAAAGGGAGAAAAATTGTTCTCCTTGGCCTCTGATGATAGGACAAAAAGCAATAGGCTTACATTGCAGCAAGGGAGATTTAGGTTGGACATTAGGAAAAACTTCCTAACTGTCAAGGTGGTTAAACACTGAAATAAATTGCCAAGGGAGGTTGTGGAATCTCCATCACTGGAGATATTTAAGAGCAGGTTGGATAGACATCTATAGGGATGAGCTATACAGTGCTTGGTTCTGCCGTAAGGGCAGAGGACTGGACTCAATGACCTCTCGAGGTCTCTTCCAGTTCTAGTATTCTATTATTTATTTGTGCCACACATCAAGTTATAACTGAACAATACTGTACCTTCACAAGATTCAAAATGATAATGGGAGAGCCAAACCTCTGAAGCATTTGATCAAAGTGAAGTGCAGCTACGTGTGCAAACGGATCTGCTTGGTCCACTGGAACAAAGTAAATAAATATATGCAGGAAAAAAAATATCAAAGATTTTGAAATCCTAAATGGTTACTTTTCATTGAATAAAAACAAGGAGTCAGGTGGCCCTTTAAAGACTAACAAATTTATTAGGGTATTACAGCATAAGCTTTTGTGAGCTATAACTCTCTTCCTCAGATGCTGGAGAAAAAGAAACAAAGTGGGGAAGGGGGAGGATACAGAGATGGGAATGTGGCAACAGATACCCTCTGCCTTTCTGTTCAGCACCTGAATAAGTCAGTTGTAGCCCACAAAAGCTTATGCCCTAATAAATTTGTCAGTCTTTAAAGTCTCACTGGACTCCTTGTTATTTTTGATTAAACAGACTAACATGGCTACCTCTCTGCAATCTTTCCTTTCAATGCATTTTTATAAAAAGATTTACTCCCTATTTTTTATAAGAGAAATACAACTCACATCTCTCTATTATTATTGAAACAACAGGGTAAAAGCAAAGGATTTCACTTTATTTTTTTTGTTGTAGTTTGCCAAAAATTAAATAGTTAGAAAGAAACTATTGCTTACCTTTTCTCTAACCTCTTTTTCCACTATTACATACGTTCTATTTCTGTCCTATACATGCCCACTGTACCGGATCCAGATACGTTTTTCTTAGAAGTACCACTGGGCCAGCACTTGTGCAAGCTAGCCAGTGATTCAAATGGCAGGGAGTACTGACTAGCAAACTCAAGCTCAATCCAGAAACGAAAATACACATGTTCTAAACTCTGAGCATGTGAGTTGTCCCAATGAAGACAGAGGGAAAATACCTGTTGACCCCATTAAAGCTAAATGGATTTTTTCAATTGGCTTCAACAGGACGAGGACATCATCCAAAATGTTGTCCCCAAGGGAGACAAACTGATAAATAACTGTTTGGGTACAAAATCATGAGCACAAAGAAAGCTACAGTCTTCAACTACAAGCATTGCCACACTGGAGCAATAATGGGCCGTTGCAGGCACAAAATTTAACATTAAAAAGACACCAAATCTGGTTATATTATTTCTCAAACCCAATTTCAAGGTGGAACTAATTTTTGTGGCTAACTAATAAACATTTTCATGAACTAGAATGTTTATAAAACAATACTGATCCATCTTTAATTGTAGATTCACAGTGAAGAAAAATTTTTTTACAAGATTAATCTTCACCTAATTCTCTCTGGCATTTTTTTTAAAAGAAAAACCCATTATTTTTCATAGGATACCACAAAGAATATATTGAACATACATGTAATTGGTGGCTTAGGCATCATAGTTGAAATATCTTGAGACCAGTAGAGAGGGACTGAGCCTCGAACTTGAACATAAGAAGAATAGCTCCCTGTAGAAAATGACATCACTGAAGCATCACAAAGTATTTGTTCAGTTTCAACTTCATTAGCAACATCCCCCTGAAATTAAAAAATACATATATTACAGTTCAGAGCTGTATTCACAGATCCTGAAACAACAACCATGAATGGCAGGATTAATTAAAACTAAAATTAGGGGATGTCAAATCGTAAGAGCACAAGAGCTCCCGAGCAAGGACTGTGTTTGGTTATGTAAAAGGAATTTACCTTGTGCAGTAACGACTATTCTTTGAGGTGTGTGACCTCGTGGGTGCTCCATTGTTGGTGATGAGACACTTCAGAGCCACAGAGCAAAGGTTTTTTTAAGCAGTTATCAGTGGGCC